AGAAACAGCACCTAAGAGGCAAGTTTCAGACTACTTCACACCTGAGTTGCTGCCTTTGGCTTCCTTTTCAGCCATTACCCCTTCAACTGCATCTTTGTAGCACCCACGAGCAGATCCCACAGATCTGAACAATTTACAGCACTTAGTTACCAGCCATAAAAAGAGGCTTAATCTACAATGAAGAGCAAATCATGATCTGAGATTTAGGCATTTCTATAGAGAGAGATTTAGATTCTCTATATAGAGATTTAGGCAGTCTATATCCTTTAAGGTATAAACCTAATTTGCCATTAATTTGATTAGTTAGGCAGTGCCAAATAAGAATGCTAAGGTACTCAACAGTATTTTGCCTTGCAGTTAAGCATCCTTCAAGCATACATGCTGACTGAGCTTTTCAAAAGACACAGAGAGCACTCAGCACACATAAGGAGTTCTCAAACTGAACTTTATTAAGCCTCGTACCTTAGTTTACGTGGCAGGCTGAGCTGGACTAGTGGAATCTATGCTGCAGGCTGTGGTACAAACTGCCCTGCTACAAGAACATGAAAGCTGACTACAGTTGCCAGACAAGATGTTACCCCATTTTACTACCATACGGTTTGAGCTGCAGCCAAGCAATGACAGTGCAGGAAACAAGTTAAATGCAGCTAATTCAGAGCCTCTATAGAAGGCTATCTATTAAGCAGGCTGCAGGAAGTCTACAGGTGATAAAATTCTGCTTGGAGTAGAGAAACAGTCACTCATGCAGGTTTTTGTTCAATTTTGCAGTTAAAATTTATTGCATCCTCAGTTCTTAGGAATCACAACTGAAGTTTTCCAGTGATCTGACTCAAAGCCCATATGCTGTTATGAATTTATGGCTGCCACTGCATTTGAGAACATCATGCACAGAAAAACTGATCCAATGCATCTCACACATCAAGTATAATGTTTGCTTGCAACACTTGCATTTTATAAACCTGCTGATGTCAGACTACTCACACTTCAGTTAAACCTATGCTGTATAGTCCAGGGCTAGGAGCAGAAAGTTCACTTCTTTGTTTGCTGAGTAGACATTAACTCCCTGTTCACACTGTAACAGCCTGAATTGAGACAGGCACATTGAGAAGGCTATGCCATCCTCAGTGGGAACTGGAGTCTTAGTGTTATCTTCCCTCCCCCTTATGCAAACATATAACTGCATGGAAGAGGTTAGTATGTGATTGCAGATCAGTCTTTTGGTCAGATTGGAGTTTTTGGTTGGAATAGGAAAATAAGTTTTGCTTTTGACAACAGGAAGAAGTGCATACAGCTGCCTTGTAAAGGCTGAGGCTCTTCGGCATTTGCGCTTGCTTCAGTCGCAGTCCAAGAAACACTGAAGTTAAGGATTTGCCTAGACATCCGATTCTTAGTCCTGCAAGATGTGGACGTGGCCAGTAGTCAGTTACACCATAACCATCTTCTCTAAAGGTCATTTTTCCCAAGTTAATACCAGAAGCAATACATTTAAGTTGTCCTTGCTCCCCTTCATTCAGGCTTGTGTTCACCATAAGTGATGTAATGGCACAGATTTGTTTGGACACTCCATGAAATTTAATAAGACACTTATTCCTGAATACTTGAGTAGAGAGCATCAATTTGGTTCTTGAAGAATTTAACAACCTCTCCCCGCTTTGCCTTCAGAGTTGGTGTCAAGAGTCCATTTTCTACAGAGAACATCTCTGTGTGGATGTACAGATCTTTAACCTACGTGGAAGGGAAATAACAAGAATGTGACATAACTGCTTACAGCACAAACAAAATGGTTCTTCCCAGGTCCCCTGAGCTCAATGCAAGGACTTACTCATTCTCATTACTCCAGTAAATAAGGAGTTCCCTTAATTACCTAATCCAGTAAGGATATCCTAAGGATAGGCTGGAACTACCAGACAGCTCCTAGGGCTCATGGGGAATCTACAGTCAATCCTACAGCAATTGTTACTGTTGCCCTACGGCCGTGCTTTGGTCAGTGCTCCACTGCCTACTGCCACTGGGCAACTTTCTTAGGTCCAAGCCTGGCACTAATAGTATGACATCAATAACGATAGTAATGGAGACTCCCCAGCCATACTAGCAGTGCAAGCACTAGTGAGCCAGGTTTGGAAGTACTCACTTGTTCAAAGGATTTAAGGCCGCCTTGTCTCCCCAGTTTGACTAGATCTTCTAAAATGGCTTTCTTCAGTGCCTAGAAGAGATGCATAGTTCAACGGGAGCAGCGGCTGAGGATCCTACCTGATGCCCAATCAGTGAAAACTCAGGATGGCAAAATGATGTGCGTATTTCAACATTCAACAGTTCTCACATTGAAGCCACTGCTAGGTCCCCACTGAGTTCTTTTCAGAGGAAAAGAATCAGTAGTAGCCCTTGAAGCCTCAAGGGACACCTATACTTCCCCAGCTCCTACTTTAAGGCTGCTTGCATTACTCACTCAGCTTTACATCAGTTTGATTTAATAAATAAATAAATGAGGTTGAAGCATTACAAGACTGGGCTTCAGAATTAAGATACTCCTGCAGCCCACTTAAAAGGTAAGACCACTCACTGGATTTTTGCAGATATCTTCATAGGAACCTTTTATTCCAAGTTTTGATGCAAAATCTGGAAGCGTCTCAGGATCAGGAACCACAATGCCTACTAGAGAGGACTGAAAACAAGTGGAAGTAGTCATGTTTAGACAAGGATGAGGCAGCTAAAATTATTGTGATAATGTGCGGAAAAAATTGGTAAAGAATAATATTTACATATGTCCATGTCTACTTCGCTATCCTTTTCCATGGTTTGGAAAGTGGCTATAAGGACTATCTTAACTTCAATTACTGATGTCATAAGTTAAGATTTAAGTTTCAGATTAAGTTAAACTACTGTTTATGTCTGTTACTTGTGCTGGCTTTTGTGTGGCTTAAGGACTAAGGACTGAAATCTACAAAAACACATAGACCCAACCTGACATACTGATCCTATACAAGTATGTAACTAGCCTTAACATGACTTTCAAATTCATGTTGAGATCTCGTGTTCTGATGTATCCAGAGCAAAGGCTGAAGACAGCCCAGGAGGTCTGAAAGAAGGCTTCCATAAACATGGCTTTCATGGGAACAGATCTAATTCAAGGACACTTCTATGCATTTACTTCTACCTGATCCAGAACTCAGTTTGGGAGAAATCTTACATGCTTGCACTTAACATTGCTTACCCTCAGGCTCTCCCCATGCACAAAGACTTGGGCTACAGGAGCACTTTGGATATAGATGTTTTCTATCTTCTCTGGAGCAATATATTCTCCTTGTGCAAGTTTAAATATATTCTTCTTCCTATCAATGATCTTCAGTGTTCCATTCTAGAAGTAGAAGATGGATAGCCATTAGTTTAAAGTCCTTGTCTTGCTTCTGTTGGAAGGATGACTAGACAGCTCCTTTACTCTCCTCTGACACAGGATGAGAGACCACATTCATTCTGCCTGATCTTAGTGGAAGTGGCATTCTTAACTACTGGCCAAGCAGATGTTATTTGAAACCTTGCAAGCTGATTGCTCTTTGGAACTTTGCCTGGGGTTATATGGTAGCTGATTTAACAAAATACTTTTTAAGGATTTTATCCTAGGATCCACTTTTCAGACTACTGTACACTAGTCCACGATTCAAATACAAGAGATGATATGTATTAAATTCGTACTCACTGGCATCCATTTCCCTATGTCTCCGGTGTGGAGCCAGCCATCTTTGTCAATTGCTTCAGCTGTTTTCTCAGGGTCTTTCAGATAACCCTTGAACACATTTGTTCCTTTAATGCAAACCTGCAGCAAGCACAGAACACTATTAGTTACGCAGTCTTATGTTTTAGTATTTCCTGGTACACGAAAGAAATGGTACCTACCTCGCCTTCATTATTAGAAGAGAAATAGTTCATTTCCTCTACATCATCCAGCTTTACGATATTACAAGCTAGAGGGGCTCCCACATGTCCTGAGGGAAAAAAGAAAACAAGATAATTAAGTTTGGTGGCAGAGCACTGGAACAGGCTGCCCAGAGAGGTTGTGGAGTCTCCTTCTCTGGAGATCTTCAAACCCGCTTGGACACAGTCCTGTGCCACGTGCTCTAGGTGACCCTGCGTGTGCAGCGGGGTTGGACTAGATGACCTCTAAAGGTCCCTTCCAACCTTAAACATTCTAGGATTCTATGATTTTATATAAAGTTACAAAGAATTGGTTTTGAAGTGGGATGGGAGAACCCTGCTGTCCTCTGCATATGGAAGACTTGAGCAATATGAGATACTTCATGGTCATATTCACAGCTTTAGGAAGAACTGGTACTGTTTAGAGGGGCCAGGCACCAAATACACAAGAACCACTACTGTAATGCCATTTTCAGATACTTTCTGTGTGTTAAGTGGAAGCTAAGCTTCGATGTTTTGAACCATTTATTGGTCTAACCGGGCATACTGGTCATGTGCCACACTTGCCCTCACAAAACTCCATCATTATTCCCTGGTTTTCATTTCTATTTTATACTCATGAACTGTAGTATCTGTTTTGATAGTTAAAACTAGCCTTAAAGCTCTTTGAAAAAAAGTCATCTCCTCATCTACAGTCCTACAGATGCACCTTGCTTGTGCAACTGTAGTAGACAAGTTCTAGGCTGACTGAGATCACTTTACACCAGAGCTCTTCATCTACTTGAAGCCAGTATTTTGGTGCCCTGTTATGCATACAGGTGTGACTGTTGACACTCAGGATCATTTTGAGGGAGGTTAAATACCAGGATTTATTTTTTCATTGAAGTTAAAAAAAAAAAAAAAAAACACGTAAGCATGAGTGCCACTTTCCATTGGCAGTTGTGGGAGAGTGAGTCTCAAATTGCAATACCTGCTGTCCAGTCTCCAGGCGTTGAGACAGTGCATCCAGCTGAGCATTCAGTCTGACCATAAGCTTCAAAGATCTATGAGAAAGTATGAGTATCCTGTGAACACCGAGTCCTTGGTACACAAGCACTCACTCAACTGTGCCCAAGCACAAGTTTTTTTAGGAATGAAATTAAGACCATCACAGGCTTCTTTTTGGTGTGATCAGATATACTTAAAGTTTACCTTGTTCTCCAAATTCTGTTCTGTGGTGGGACCTGCTGACTGTCAGGGTAAGCTGCAAAGGTCAGAGCAACTACCTGACTTGCTGCTGTAATTACATGTTCTCTTTTCTGCTGCTCAATTCCCTTTCCTAGGGCCTGCAGGATATTTTCAGTGGTTTAGTCTGAAGCCAGTTAGCCATGCAGGGTTTGTTCCTGATACAATTAACTTGGACTAAGTAGTCTGCAAACACTGGAGACCCTGACTGCAACCTCTCCAGCAACAAGCCGGGCTAGATTACAAGTTGTATCATTAATTATATCCAAATAAGTGACTATTAAGCTGTAGTTTAGAGAAGAAAAAAAAAAAAAGAAAAGTCAGCTCACCTGGCAACCCAATGCTGCTCTGAGAAATGATAGGACAGTAGGAGATATGGGAGCTGCAGCTGTTACCATCATACGTACTTGTCCACCCATTGTTTCCTGCAAGAGGATTAAAAGCCATCAGATCCTCCAGGATGACATTGGCTGGGTTGCTTACACATGGGAGGACATACCTGAACTTTTTTGAAGATTAGCTGATCCCAAATGCTGTTATTTCGAATTATGCCCTGCTTCACTTCAGCCATCTTCATAGCCACAGCAAAATTTAACAGAAATTTCTTCATTGGGCTCTTTGCACCACTTTGTACCTGCCGGAAAATTGAATTGTGGGTTTAACTCAAATCTGTACCTTGAGTTTTTGAAGGCACCATCTCTTACTTTGATAAATTATAATTGATCTTCACTACTGTCATGTTCTAGGACATGAACAAAGGGGAAATATTAATTTGTGATCTCTAGCTTTGCATTTACTTAATTTTTATTCTGAAAGTAAACAAATTTTTGTCTCTGAACAGCAACAGATCTCATTCAGTCATGGCTGGATACGCTGTTCTTGTACTAGAGGTCAACTACTGAGAAAGGATTTTAAAGATTTCCTTCTGCTAAGGAGTGATTAATCTAGAAGGGTTGTTATGCATTCAATTGCAGTTTGAAGTTACATTCTTGCTTAAATGCATGAATTTGAAGATAATTTAGCTAAAAAATTCTCACCTACCTTGTCATATATTCTATTAAGCAGTCTTGGTACAACTGGAAATAGTGTTGGCTTCAAGGTTTTCATGTCATCTGTTAGAAACTTGATGTCTCCTTGGAAGAAGCCTACTTTCCCTCCACAGCAGTAGATTACGGTCTAAAAATTAAACAGACCTTAGTCAAGAACAATTCCTACCTTCACATTAGCACTAATGATTTGCCTATGGAAGGCAGCATGATTTCCAGTGCCCATTAGTAGGAAAGGTCTTGCTGTTTGAGGTTTTGACTATATTTTGACCTACGAGTGTTCAAACACATTGACTAAGCACTGACGTGAAACCTTGATTGAGAGTCCATGAGTGCCACAAGAAAAAAAATCATGTTATATTTGAAGAGTTTGATTTAACGCATTTGTGCAAGGGTTGTTCTATTTTGATATCTCAAACATCTGGAAATGTCAGCAACTACAAGATAACAGAAGAACTGAACAGCTTGACAAAGGATAAGACATGACACAATCTGTTTTAACTACCAGATCAGGAATTGGGGTTAAGGACCATTACATGTAGAAGAGTTGATCCAACCACAAAGTTGCTAACACTTCCTGTAGAAAGGAGCTCTGAAAGCTGAAAAAAAAATTTTTTTCCAGTTCTGCTCTGCATTTTAGCAAGTGCATCTTCAGCACTCTTGGAACATGCTGGAAGAAGTGCATTAATTGGAAGAGTAGAAGTGGAGCTTAGGAAATAAACTGGCAGCATGACAGAGCCCGGCAGAGTACACAGTGCAGAACATATAAACATTCACATGCTCTGAAAGCTTAAATCTGTGGCTCTTAAACTGCTGCCACTTCACATGCTAGCTTTCTCTGTACTTTAGATTAAGCACTGGATGCTTGCAGACTTCTTAGGGCATCAAGGAGGCTGGACTGAACATCATAGCAACTCAGCAGCTGTTTCTTGTCACAGTAACTAGATATTAATTGGTCAGCTTAGACGTTTTATTTTATGTAGGTAGTACTGGTTGCTAGGTATGAATTATCACGAGTGTTATTATCAGCTAGTCTGTACATATAAAAATCTTCTACAGAAACGTAGTAGCATGTGCACAGTCTACTTACCTGCACAATTCTCTCAAACATGTGAGCCAAAGGAAGATAGGACACAGAAATATCCGAACTTGTACACTCAAATGTATTCTACATGGGAAAGAAACAGATATTTGTCAGCAGTCCATATATCTTCTCAAGTTATTCTTAAGTAGAAAGTGAATGAATCTTGGATAGGAGTACTTTGAAACAGCTGTTTTTAAATGACTGAAACAACTCAGTCCCTTCTATCTTTTTTCAAAACTTGAAACTGAGTTAGTGAAAGATGAGACAAAATACTAGGTCAGCAGTAGTTTCACATTTTGGAAAGATTTGAAATAGGGTAGTTTAGCATGCTTGGCATAAGTTCTAACTCATTCTAGAATAATTTTTAAAGTCAAAATAAGTTACTTGCAGTTATCTTTTCTCATGGAAATATGTACACTTAAGAAAGCATGAGTTTCCTGGAAGTGAACGGTTTGCAGAAAATGCCTGTATTAAAGCCATTTTAGTCGCTCTGAATGACAACCCGGAGATCACCTTCAGCAGTAGCTTACCTCTGTGCATTTAAGGAAGGCAGAAGCATTTGCAACAATATTTTCATGTGTCAGCATTGCTCCTTTAGGGTTACCTTTGGACAGATTGAGGAAAGTCAGCTGTGGCTATGAGTGCATATACTACTACATTCTCATGTTTTGCTTGGTTCAGTCAGTTTGACGAGAACGATCTTAGTATGTGTTGTCCCAAGAGTTCAGAAATACCCCACATCTTGTTCACTTTCAGCTATAGATATTATCTAAATAGACTGTCTAGAAATTGCAGAGTGATTAGGAATAGCATAGAGAATGATGGAACAAGACCTTTATGTAGAGAAGATCAGCACATAGATAAACAGCCAAGGTATTTAATGAAATGACTTCCCTGTATTTTTCAGAAGGTAAGACAGAGCAAGCATAGACTAGAATTTATCAATTCTTCTCTCGAAGAAGCTTTTTCTTTAGTGCACTAGTTCTGCAGTGACAGCATCCCAAACAGAAGCACAGTGATAACTCTACACAATAGAAGGTTCCAATTTACTTTTTTACATTTTATGTTGTTAAGTGTTTCCTTTTCTCTGCTGGAAAGCAAGTTCTTCCAGCTCAGGGAGCTTATTTTAATGGGTAAGCCTCAACATGCATTTTCTTACCTGTGGTTCCACTGGTGAAACACACAATGCAAAGATCTTCAGGCTTAGGAGGCTACAAGAGAGAAGCAACATGAAGTCAGAATCTATAGATTGTTAGTGTCTCTCAGAACACACATTTTAGAAAGGGTTATGAATCTGGCATGCCAGCCAGGAGTCATCTGGGATGAGAAAGACAAGATTAAAACAGTCCTGCCAACCTCCTCTGCTACCAATGTGGCAAAGTTCTTTTCAAAGATCAGTTTTTGCACATTTAGAACTGTTCCATAGGGATACTTACAATTGGTTCTCTTATGTTGTTTCTTCCCAGCTCCTGTATTAGAGAAAACACAGATTAATAATTGTAACCAAAAATGCAACAGAAGTTGTTTTCACTTTGACTCTTACTTTATGTTCTTAGTTCCTTCTTCAGAGAGAGGAGATAGTCTTTGTGCATTTAGTGCACACACAGCTTGGAAAAATGAACTCTGCTTGGGGTTGTAAAAAGCAGGAATTTTGATGTGCAGAAAGTGATCAGGGCTACTTAAGGAGTTCAGACATTTTAATTAGAGATATTTTATTTAATGTAGGCCAAATCTCTTATTTATGGTCCAATCTGGCAGATTAAAATTAACATTAGGATTTCAAAGCAGCCAGTTATTTGCATTTGAAGTTTTAATTAAATTATTTTTATCCTGTTACAACTAAACCTATGGAATTCTTCAGGTTGCTGCACACTGAGTGCCCACAATGCACAGACACAACAGCGGTCAATTGCCAGATCCCTGCAAGTCCACTCAGCTAAATATATAAAGTTTCAAAAAGACTGTTCCTCAAGATCTCAGATTCAGTATGATTGCTGGATAATGTGAAAAGTGCCATTGTGGTCAGAAAAGCTTCACATGTCTATCTGGCAAAGCAATATCAAGCAGAAGCCATCAGTCACCTACCTCAACTTCCTGCAGTGCTAGGATTTCAACTCCTATTTGTGCTCCTCTGTCCTTGAGTTCTTTATCAAACAGATTCATGAGAATGATAGTCTTCAAACACGTGGTCAATCCTTGCTCACGGTTTTTAAGCAAGACCTGTGCCTTCTCAGGAGTGTCGCATATGACTGTGGTTATGCCAGCTACAGAAAAGAAATTACATTTCAGAAGTCTGTTCAGGGGACACAGGACGCTAAAGGTAGCATATACATTTAAAACATAGCATTTGCTTCTTATAGGGTGAGCTTCAGCCTATGCATTTGTTTGTATGGATTCAGTGGCTGGCTTGATGGTGCTAAAATGATTCCTACCAGGTCAGCTGAGCTTATAGCTAGAGCCCTTTTTTTTTTTTTTTTCTCCCCCCCGTGAAGGCAGGTCTTTGTGTTGAAGAACTAAATAAGAAAATATTTAAGTCACAGTCAAAATAGATATTTCATCTTTCAGCATTGCTATAAAAGTTCAGAATTGTTCACATTAATAATTTAGTTATAACCATCTTCATAAAATTTAAGGAAATATAGATCTGCTTGAAGTTGGTAGCTAGAATTTAGGAGTTGATACTTCAGTTTTCCTGCATTTTCAGGAGACTTGCTCAGAATTACAAAACCATTCCCCAGCAAGACAACAGAGGATCTGCATTTGGCTGAACATGCTGGTTCTTCATTAATCTAATCACAGCTGTGTGATTAATTAGTCCCTAAAAAGCATCAGTCCCAGGCAAAAACTATTAGCAAGATTTACCCCCATGACTGTGGAGGTGATTCTGCTTGGCAAATGCTATTTATAGGTAGGATCCTAGGTAGTTGGGATAGTAGTAGATTTTTTTTTTCCTTGATCTTCTCTTGAACTAGAAGAGGAATTTTGAAGACACATTCAAGATCCCTTACCAACTTCCTCCATGAGGGCATGCAAACTGTTAGTTTTGTAGAACCCCAGACTAGATAGATTTAGACATACACCTTCCCTCCACCCTTCTTTCACCCCCTGCCCCCAACCCCTGCAGCATGGTCCACATAACCTAACAGGCCATTATTAAGCTTGTACTCAAAGACAGCAAGAGGTATAGGAAGTTCACTGCCTCCTTCCAGAAACTGAACAATGTCCTCAGCAGAACAGCTTTACAGCTTTATGAAGGGTCCGTAAAACTAGAAGAGCAGCAAGGGCAAAGCTAGTTTAAGTTAGATGAAACACCTTTGAATTTCAGCCTTCTCAGAACAGAACATCTTACAGAAATCATCACTGAAGAACTTGTTAAAGTCAACATTTACCTTTGTCAACAATATATACAATGGCCTCTGGCCCCAGAGTGTCGTAGAGTGGAACAGCAACCAGTGAGTAAGTGTAGCAGGCATACTCCGAAATGATCCACTGAAGACAAAAAACAGTCATTCTAAGAAAAAACTACCAGCTCCCAGGACAAGATTACCTAGAGACTTTGTGCAACTGAACTAGCCTGCAACAGCTGAGCTAACTGAACTGATGATGCACATGTCAGGGGCTGGGTCTCTGTAAGGAACAGGTCGTTGGGCTCCTATAGCAGTCAGAACTCAAGACAATCATTGCTGTATGGTAACTGGCAGTATATATTCAGTTATTACTAAGGGAAATAGGAGGGGAAAAGCCATTTGTGATTGTTCCTAAAGTGGCCTCACACTGTTTAAAAAGCAAATTGAACAGATCCCAAGTGACTAGACCCTCCTCTCCCTCCCAGATACCCAAATATTTTCCTTCTTGCTTACCTCAGGCCTATTCTGAGCAAAAATACCAATAAACTGGTTTGATGATGGGTTACATCCTTTCTGCAGAAGCCCTGATCCCAGGTATTCAGCTCTATCCAAAACCTGTAGGAAAGTATTTTCTCTTTAGTATTGCAAGGCAGCATCCTAAATGAAGTCATCTATTAATAGCAAAACTTACCTGTTTATATGTTAGCCATTGATAAGGTTGATTGGGTTTTCTATAGCCCAAACAGGCACCATTTCCTAATGGAACAGTTCAGAAAAGTAGCTGTAAAGCTCAATACCAAAGTTGCATGGCACTTAAATACGATACCAATTTTCAGTCAGATTCCTAGCTAACTTCATGGAGTATGGCAGTGATGTGTTCATAATTAAGAAGTCTACTCAAATCAAAACAGCAAGATTGTTGGCTTCATCCTTATGAGAAATATTTCAAGACCTGGTGATATTTTCTCATTTTACAACCCATCTGAATTTGAATTCAAGCTATCATATTTCCGTGCATAGGGCCTGGGCCTATGAAGTTACACAGACAGCAGCTCCTACCTGTTGTGAACAGGCAGTAATTCACCTTAAAACTCACATCTTAACCTTCTAATGCTTGCTCTGGAGCAGTTTGCCAACTGATAATATTTCCAAATCAGTGGAAAAAATGGGGTCACTTGTCATTCAAACATACTAAGGTAAAGGAAAGCTTTTACTAGCTTGAAAAACAAAATGCAGATGGAAAAACCTTGGAACCACTTGATTTACTTGTGTGATAAGTCAGCACTAGAAGCTGCAAAACTTACTAGAAACATGCAGTCCTCTTCGGAAGATTTCATACAGAGTTTTAGCATCTTCATAGTAATAAGAAAGCAAGTTGTTATCTGCCAAGACTGCACCTCTTCTGGCTCCTCCCTAGAGACAGAACATAGTTATGTATTAGCACACAACAAATGCAGTACTACTTGTTATTCAACCACTCTCCCAGCAATTTCCTTTAAAACATTTTACTAGCACTGGATTGTTACGGAAGTCTCATGTTCCTTCCCGATTTCAGTCTGTCAGGTCACACAGAGGAGCTTTGTAGCTGGACTAGATTAGTATTCAATTACAGATTAGAGATCTTGACTAAGTGTTATCACTTGCCTACTTTCATTAACTCTAGCATCTTAGTGCAGCATCAGCCTCAATGTTGACCACTCAAAATACTAAAATAAAGGACTAAAAAGAGTGGTGGCTGAGAATACCTGGTAAAAAGCACATCTGGGTTTGACAAGAGACATTGCATCTTATTCTGTTAATATCTTAAAGACTTCCTTTCTCTCCCTGTAAAGAAAAGCCATACAACTGGGAAAGAAAGTTGAACATATCAGACAGGAAAGTTCCCGCTGATACTTGGAGTCAGAAATAGATCAGTGTCCAGAGCAAGTTGCTCCAAAATGGTCCATCTCTACAAGCAGAATAAGCATTACCTCAATTCCTACTGACTGCTTGTTTAAGTCAACAGGAGGCAGAACAGGTTTGGGCCTGCTGATCACCCACAGGAGGATGACAGCTCCAAACACAACAAGGCTGTACAACGCTGGTGTGGGGAGCGGTGAGAACAAGACTTGAAGTATCCAGATCATCGTGCTGGGTCACAGCAGCCAGAGTTGGATCTGAGACAAACAGGAGATTCAGCAGACAGTTAGAAGCACTTGACCTGCAAGTCATCATTATTTAGTTTCTTAAGAAAAACTAAGTATAATTTCAGGAGTTTGCTCCTAGGCACAGTACAGTAATGAAGCAAGATTATGCAATGCTTTATGCCCCCTAAGAGATCTCAAGTTACCTGTCTCCGTAAACCTTAATCCATTCTGTATCCGCACACACACACACACACACACACAATTAAAAAAAAAAAAAACAAAAAACTGCAGTCTCCAAGTAAAGCCAGGAACAGAAGATGTGAAATCCTTCCATTCAAAAGTCTATCACCACTATCAGGTTTATAGCTTTAGCTGTCAAGTCTACTTTGGGGGAAAAAGAAAAAAAAAAAAGAAAGAAAAAAAAAAGAAAACTATTTCCCAAGTTATGTTTAGCCAAAAGGTACCTACAGTTCGGTGAAATGAACAGCAAAAGCAAAAAAGCCCTCAAGGTTATAGCTGTCCAACAGGAAGGGTATTCCTGGACTATATATAGGTGTAACAAATGGGTAAAATCTGCAGAATTATAGTATCTACATGATCAGCTGTCCTTATTGGGAGGAAGATCTGTGCTGAACAAGCCTTTCAGTTAGGCACTGACTACGTGTTCAGTGTGAGATACAAGTCAAAACTCTAGAAGATAATTTGCGCTAGGAAATGGTGACCTAGAAGCCAATGCGTGCCACAAAAGTCTAGCTGGGAAAATACCAAAGCTATTCTGCTGCTTCTACCATCCAGATACTCCTTCTTGAGGGTCAACGAAGCAAAAACTGAGAATGCAGGATGAGAGAGATCCTACATCTTATAAACAGAAATTATGCTTGTCTGTATCTCTTGTTCCCTTACAAAGAGGTATTTTAACTTCCAAGATGTACTGTTACGTTTATGGTCAAGGCATAACCACATTTGTTCTAGATGAATTCACATATCACACCAATTTATCTTTGCCGAGTATCTACATAGGTATGTAGGGCATAATACACATGACACTTTCAAAGGACATGATTATTCACCTTGCAAATTCCTATATGCAGGATCAAGGGAATCCAAACAACAGATAATACTTCAGCCAGCACCTAATTCCCTTCACGTGAAAAATACCAGGCATTCTGGAGCAACAAAACCCAGTCATCCCTTAACTACAGTACCAAGAAACTAAAAGGTGTTTTCCAAACAGTGAGCAAATTCGGCCAGGTGCCTAAGTCAGAATGTGGGTCTCTGAGCCCAGACTGACCAGAGTTACCTCACCCATATCAGGCTTAAAATTTTGGTTCTCAATTCACAGCGGCCATGCCAAGCAGTCTCCTGTACAGGAGATCGAGGCATGCTTTGCCTGCTGAGCAGCTGGATAAGAAAGGAAGCTCATCAACTCCAGCATGCCAAAAACATGCCATCTGTTCATCTGATCAGTAGGAACTCCCTAGACCCCTTTCCCACTCTTAAGTCCCAGTCAGTGTGTCCTTCTGGTCTCATACTTTGACAGTTCTCCCCAAAAATAGTGCTACAGCAAGAAACATAGGAACGGCTGCATTGTAACTCTGCATTGGCTGAACTTCAGTCACTGCGTATATCACACCTAAAAGTGTGAGCCTATTATTTCTATAACTTATTTCCACATTCTTCCTCATCCTTTACCAACTTGGCTTGGAGAAAAATCTCCTGAACCCTGATCTGTTGATCAAGTTTATACTCTGAGCAGAGCCTCCTAGCAGTCTGTTCTAGTACGAATGTTTGAAAGACTAAGGTTTAAGGTGAATTTGGCAATCACTTGCCTTACATAATTTATACATTTGGCCTTGTAACCTATTACTGGAGTAGTCTGTAAGCAGCTATATAGAGGCGATTAAACAGTACCTGTTTTATGATGTGATTTACTGAACTAGACACTGAGCTCCTCCTGCCAAAGTTAGATCTGTTCAACTGCTTAGTCCTTTGTTATCATGGACAAGACACCTTTTATAGCATCTGCATCTCCACTCTCCAACATGAGGAGGAGCTGTATATAAAACATTATCCTTTTAACTCAAGGACCAACTAGATCCAAGTGATACAGCAAACCATATTTGAACTATTGTACACTGTAAGCATGGCTTGTTGCCAATCGGCAAAACTAGCCTGGGGCACATCTATTCCACCATCTTTCTACAGGGGTGCCAGAATACTCATGTCCTACTCTTGGAATTTTGATTAATAGCAATCGGCCTGTGCTATTTTCCTGTCTTTTCCCATTTCCAGATGGGCTGAAAGGAATTTGTACTCAGCATACTTAAGGGGAGTCCTCCCTGGATATCTTAGGTCCTTTCAACAAGCAGTAATAGAGATGTATACAGGCCACTAAAGAGATCACATGCCTGCTTTGCTGTGCTAATTCCAATGTTTGAAATATGCTCTCACATGTTAATTTAAAAAGCAGTTTTAAAATAGCTTTTTCTATGTAGGCAGGAAGAGCTAGTTGCCTATAGCATTGTGCTAGAAGTAACCCATCAGAACTAACATAGAAGAGAGTCCTTTAACTGATACTGAATTAAAACTGCTCAGTCAGACAGGTAAGTGGAGTTTTCAAATAACTAGTATCTGTTACATTTTTTATCTGTTACATTTATTTTACTGAAAATAAATAAACGGAAGATATTTGTCTGACATTGCTGTGAAAATGACCAGGGAACCCACCAAGTCCAAATGCTCCATTTTGCCACAGACAAGTCTGCAGAAAGCTCGACTCCTCATTGAACAACATTGCAAGGCTATTTGTGCCAAGGCATCTAGGAAGACCGAAGATCAAGCCCTAAGGATAAAGGTGCTTGGAGCAGAGAACCCACTGAGGTCCTGGGAGAATACCTGATCAGGAGCAAGTGAGAAGCTTGCAGAGGCCTAATGCAGGAATGTGGCAAAGCTTCTGCCCTCAGTTTCTGAGTTGATTCCACATGTCTCTTGCATGCAGAAGAGAAAGCTGGTAACTTATCAGAGATGAATTTCAGTTTTAAGCAAAAACCAGAAGTTTTTGTAATTTAAAGAAATATCTTCTTTCTTTTTGTTTATATCCACAACTTGGGAAACCTTATGGCACTATTTCTTCATTAGCCTGTTTACAATATTGACTATGTTCAGAAGTCAAGACATAATATGCTTTAAGACTACAAAAATGTTAGCATTGTATTAAAAAAAAAAAAAAGAGGGCACAAACACACAAATACTTGAATCTTGTTTGCATTAGACAGGAAATACCTGAAAGACAATTCCTCTACTTTATGAAAGGTGATAGTGACAATAGCATGTTACTTTAATTTCCAAAAAGGTTTCCTCAGCTTTAACTATTCCCACCAAAGTACATAGGCTGTGGCAACAGACAGCAGCTTTGTCACAAGATTTCCAGATAGGACAATTGTCTATACTATGGCTAGAGCTTCTTCTGTAACTGCTTATCAAATTCAAGGTACTGGTAGTTTATCCACCCCTGCTGTCTTCCAAAAGGCATTTAAAACTCCTTCTTTCAAAGCTGAAAGGCACTTGAAATCTTTCATTCAAAGCCGAGAGCAGCAAGAGGACAGGAATGTCTTCTCTAGACAGTCATCTGTCCGTGCAAAGACAGCAGCTTTACTCTAGGTCGATGCTATGGAGCAACAACAAGCAGAAGTTAACCCACAGATCCAGACACCCTGCAAATACCCAATTCCTGATCTATACTGACTGGATCAAAATTCAAGCAGGGGGTGAAGCACATGAAAATGTCAGGGCATTTCAGCCACTAGCTTCCATCATAGGGCAAGTCCAAGCACTAACTGCTTTCACGAGTATGCAGGAGAGTTGGATCACTTGAAACCTGAGTACTGGGGGGCCTAACTCTGGCTGACCAGAGAGATACAAATGCACAGGATGTCTCAAGCCAGTTCTTTTAGCTGTCTTATGCAATAAGGTGCTAGACAGCTAAAGTATTATCAGGTGTTTGGCCTGATCAATGGTCAGGGGTAAGGTACACCATACTTGGGAGTGCAAAGGCTTAGATTTTATCAGAAAAGATTACAGTGGTACCAGTTATGTCTTTGAATGCAGCCATACATGCTCTCATTTCTACTGTACCCTCAGTAACCTTTAGGAGAATTTCTTTGCTAGCTAGAAGATATCTATAAGGAATTAAACAGAACTATTGTCTCCAAGGCAGGAATTACCGGAAAGTGACTGATCTTTGTGCCTTCAAGCACACAAATTTGAAGTTAAAAAAAAAAAAAAAAGTAATCTATCTCACAGTAGTTCTCTACAGCCAGTACAGCAGTGTCTGATACTCCTACCAGTTCAGAGGCAAGGATCATGCACTGCCTGAGAGAGTTCTGTAATTATATTCTCTTTGCTCCAAGGCCAAAGGGGTAAGAGACAATTCACATATACATTGAAGAAATCATGAAAATTTTTTGATCAGCATTAGTAAAGTAACCTTATTGACTTTTTTATTGACTTCCTGAACAGGAAGAATAGACTAGAACTAACTATACTGAGTCCACCACTTGTAGTAGTAGTTCACTCCTTAACATTTGCTTTCTCATAGTGCAGATCTCACCTGGTCTTCTGCAGATGTGAGCCACTATGCCAGTTCTTATTTCTTGGTATGATTATATCCCATCATTTTTCTAGTGGCAGCAAGGAAAACCTGTGTTCTTCAGCATTTGGGCATATCTGGCTTTTAGCATCTACAGAGCTAGACAAAGCACAAGAGCTCAGTAGTGACTGCAGACCAGCGTCATGTACACATTGCATCACCTATTAATTTAATGGTCTGAGAGATATGAGACTTTGAAGACAAAATAAAATAACAGATTTGCCTCCCATTGCTTTTCTCAGGGCCCTTTTTGGAGGCAGGTGAAAATACCTTTAATGCAAAAGCTTTAATGCAACCTGCATTAAGCTGAGGCACACTCGAGATAAGAAGTCTTTGAGAGCAAAACCCATGAGAGTTACAGCCGAACAGTTCAAGTATACCTTGATTGTGCCCAAGAACTGCTCTAGCAGCGGATGAAAAAAATGAGGCCTCCATAACTTACTTTCAGGAAGTCTATAGCACACTGTGGTTGGAGACTGAGCTACAAGCTATTTCTGGACCCCGCTCAGACCTAAGTAGAAATGCTTATTGAGCCCAAAATTAGAAAGCCCATTTCTACAGAGGATTTCACCATGCCTAATATTGTCCCTTCATCAGGGGCCCAATGTTATCAGGACATTGAAAAGTTCTACAAGTTATTTTGTAAAACCTTCAAGAATCTACTTTTTAAATGTTAGCTTTTATGGCTGGTTTTCACCTTGAAAATCTACATGCTAAAAAGATACCTACACAGAAGGATTCTTTACAGAATGCTTATACTTAACTAGCACCATAAAGTTTGAAATATCTTAAAAGTAGTATAAGAAGTTCTGTTATTGTTTATCCTATTATATAATAGAGCATCATACCCCTGCTTGGTATGTATGTATCAACATTTCACTAATTGAAATTAGACACACATCAGGCATGGTTTAAAGAGCTGGAGTGAAAGTTCAGCTTGAAAAAACACACAGAATCTCCGAGAAAGCTATTAAACACATTATATAGCCACATAGAAAGGAGGCAGCATTAATCACTCTTAGTTACACGTGTTTTTTATCTGTATAAATTATTACAGCAGTTCTCTTACAAAGAGCAAACATATATCTGGACTTAACTCAGCCTAAGGTTAACTCTAGCTAAGAACACGGACTCAGAGCAGGCTCTACCAGTAGGACCAATGCACTATCTTGAACCTCAGTTGCACTAAAGATCACACGAGCAACCACAGGAAAGCCCATTACCCGTGAGAAATTTTTTTTAAAAAAAATCATCATCTTTACTTACACAGAATGGAGCAGATGCAGAGAAAAGAACGAGCAACAAAAACACACCTACTGAGGAAGGGGAGAAAGAAGAAGAAGGAAAAAAAAATGCTAACTTTTTTTTTCTCCTTAAGTAAGACAAAACCCTTATCAACACAGTAGCAAAACAACAGCCATAAAAAGGATATTCATGTTAAAACTCCAAGCAGTTTCCTTTCCCGCGTTTAAGTACATCAGCAAGCGCAAGGCAGGAGCTCGCAGAAGGCAACTTAAGTGGTCAGAGACTTTGCTAAGGAAGTTGGGTGGGTTTCTCTCTTTTTTTTCTTTTTCTTTTCTTTCAGGGGGAGGAGGAGGAGGAGAGGTTGTTGTGTTTGCGCATTTCTGAAGAGCTAAGCAGTGAAAAGCATACTAAGGCTTCCTGAATTAATATTTACAACTCATACTCCAGTTGCTATTTTTCCTTCGTTATGTAAGGTTGCTCACTAGCAGTTCTCTTTCACTATGGCTTGGTTGTACACATGACTGAGCAGATCTTGGCAGCGTGTAGCAGTAACAGATTACTGGGATTACGGTATTTATAATCTGCTGTTGTAATTTGCTTGTTTATGGGCTCCATAATTGTTTTTGCCTTTCTGCTGAAGGGTACCTATTTTTTTATAAAGCTCCTCAGTCCTCACAAAGTATTAACTATGCTGAAATCTTATATATGTGCAGCTATTTGTACAGTGTGACAGGTTTCAGCCTTCTTTAGTTTTATTTCCTGCTATAACAGGGATTTTCTTTACACCTGGAAGCGTGTTTATTTAATAGTTTATAGCTGCTGCCTTATCCCTTTCTCTTTAATGTGCTTGACTGGTGTAACCGGAATGTGGCACCAGGTTCACTGCTTTCCCTGTTAGTTCCTTGACCTCAGCAATTGGAAGCCTCATTTCTCACACACCAGCTTGCCCATGAGCCAGCTGCCTATGCTGGGTGATTTTGGGGACGCTAGATTAGGCTGCAGCAAGGCTGGAGTAACACAGCATGATGTACTGGCACCCAGAGCACTATCCATCCTGAACCTTGGCTACACATTCTGCTGGCTAAAACCCAGAGCCTGTACTAATTGCTATTACATTTTCATTGCTGCAGTAAACTGTCTTCTATTTAGGTAGATTGTAGCATTGCTCAGCAATGCAGACATACCTTCAAGACACAACTGAGGCTTAATTTGCTGATTTTGCTGTAGGCTTTTCATGAAAGCAAAAAAAGAAACCACTTGTTCTTCAGGACAGTCTTCTCCTTTCAGTTTTGCCTATCCAGAACTTCTCCTGAGAAGCCATGAAGTCTAGCCCTCAGCCAGCATGTGTTTATGCTTAGAGGAAGGCAATGCCCCCACAGAGAAGGGAAGGAAAAGCAGGCTTAGGGCCAGCCAGCCGCATTTCTAGCTTCCTTGGGTGTGTCTGAGGACTTCCCCCCTCCAGGTGCGTGCGTTTGGCTCTTACTTTTCCCGGGAGGAAGAGAAGAAGCAGTGAATTTGCCCCATCCCTGATGGGCTGTTAGGTACCAATGTTGCACCTCAGCTGCATTGGTTTTTGCCTAGAAGTGCAGGAGTTTGTTCCTACAGCACAGTCTTGCTGGGCCTGCTTCAAGCCCAGGGTGATGCAGGGGTTGCAGAGCCATGAGAGCTACACTGCACTGCCTGGATACTGCAAGTACCACTGCTCCAATGCATGGATTCAGGGGTGCAAAAAGGAGAGCTATGTAGAGAAGGGCTCCTTAAGGGATTTGTCCTGCTTAACACTCGGAAGTTGAAATGCATCTGATGTTCTTTCCCAGGTATGTGTAAGAAGTGACATGTGAATTTGTAGGCTTTGTATAAAATCCAGCTTTTCTAAAGAGGCAAAAATCCATTTGAGTTAAGTAAATCCCTACCAAAAATAAAGAAAAGTGAGTCTTAGCCTCTGTTTCTTGTGTGTGCAAAATGTTCATGTGCATCTTTCATATCCATTAGCAAGTGGTTAAAATCAGCAGTAGGTCGAGTGTGTGTATAGAGTTAAAGCTGTTTTCTTTCTACTGTCGTATGTAAGGGATTTGCTTAAAAAAGGATAAAGTGACTTATAGGGAGCCTAAAGGACATAGCAGAACACAAGGATTTGTTATCCAAAGATGCTAAAATAAACCATCTACCCATAGCAAACTGCAGAAGTTATACGTAAATAAAGGAGAAGCATAAACTCAACACCCAATTCTCTCTGTTGCCACCTCAAGGCTTGTATCTGAAATCTGTGAGTTGATGGGAAATGTGGGCTCACTACTTTTTTGAAGGATGTGTGAATTCTGATATGCTTTCTTAATGTTGTGGAAATAATCATTCTTTATTGGTTTGTCATGAAAATAATAATTCTTTTTTGCCCTGCTATATTTTTAAAGCGCAGATATCTGGCTTTGGAAACAGAGTGATTGCACAGGGATATAAATTCTTGCAGAGCGTAAGCTGTGTGAAGGGGACAATAGACTAGGGCTTGGGAGAGCAGCATGCTTTTTGCTGCGCATCTTAATTGAAATCTGTTTTTGGTTAGTATTTCTCTCTAGTTTCCTCTCCTTGATTACAGTTGTGACTGCATGCAATAATTTTGAGAAACTACCATCCCTATAGCTGTATGAAGTGGTTGTGCCAGGGTGATGGCAGCAGTCTGTTGTGCTATACTTAAACTCATACTTTTAGAAGATTGAAAAGTGCTTTATAGCCAGCTTCCATATTCTCATAATGATAATTTGGGAGATGATGGTACTCTTGTACTAACTGCTGCTAGTAGGCTTGTGTGTGTGTAAATGATCTAGTGATTAGCAATTTTTTACTGACAGCATTTCAAAACTTGCTTCCAATGCTGTGGTACCAATGTCTTTATTATTGCTTTTTTGGAACTTGGTCTTAAACATAAATCTGAGGAAGAGCCTGGCATTGATACTCTGTGCACTCAGTCTTTAAAAAGGCAAAACTAGCAGGCTGATAAGATGGCCTCAGGCTACACTGCAGTCAGGTTTCCAACTCCAGCCAGGCTATAGCATCAGGCAGAGTTCAGGTGGTTGCTCTCCCTCACTACAGCTGAGATTCCTTTGCCTCCTCCTGTGAGCCCAGACTCGCTCCTTTCATAGCTTGCAGCCCATTACTCAGGTGTTGCCTTTAGCAGCACATAGTGCGATGGGAACTGTGCATTTATATCAGGGCAGTGCAGCAAATTAAGGTCATCATCCCACCTCTGCCGTCCTTGCAGGAGCAGGGAGCCCAGTCCTGAAAGAGTTGGCTCTGATCCAGAGAGTTTGGCTTACCTGCCTTCAGCTCTGGTGGAGGGGCTGGCACCGCTCTCCTTCCTCGCTGCTCTACAACTCCAAGTGGGTGTTCAAGGGCTGGCGCTTTCCCAGCTCCCGCGGCTGGACTGAGCCCTGAATCACCAGCGTGTGGCTCTAATAAACAGGCAACACTGCACCCAGGTAACCTTTGAACCTGTGTTGTGACAGGTTCAAAGGTAAAAATTATTCCTGATCAAACATAAAGAGCAACTTTGGCCGGTTAGAATGTTAAACACACAGGGGGCTTGCGCAACAGCCTTGGAAGAGAGCAGGGCGCTGTGAAAGCTGACCCCGGCCTGCAAAGGCTCTGCCCTTGGGGGCTTAACCGGCCTCTTGTTTCTCCTGCGTATACACAGGGCACTGAATAAGCGTGTGTTTGCTGAGACTGGGTGCCTCTTAGATTGTACGTATAGCAAGCAAATGTATTCTATTTTTCCCTTACTGCTTTGTGGAGGGACCTCTCCTTAAATGTGGATGGCATCCAAGATACAGTTGTGTTGCAGTTCAAGTGGTCCATGAATAGTGCACCCCTGTAGGGGTAAGAGTTGTTAATGTGGTGAAGATGGAGTGAGACTGGTTTTCTTAACCACTGTGTGCTTTCTTTGAAGGTGTGTGGAGGGCCTTGCATTCACTGCACTAGCAAGGAGCAGTCTGGTGCTCAGGACACCGGACTAAGCCTGCTTCGTCATCAGCTTCTGGAGTGGTTGCTCTGTGTCCCCTCTCTCTATAAAATGGGAATAACGGAGCTGCTGCACCTGATGCTGGTGGTGAACAGGCTCAGCTGTGAGGTGAGGTGCTCACCCTGGGCTGCCAGGTGGAGTTTCCTGCCTTTGCGTTCAAAGATTGAGGACGTGATCTTTGGATCATGAGAAGCAAAAACTCTTCCAAGACACAAGGCCTAAATACCAAAGTCCTTTCAGTGCTCACTTAATGCTGTCAGGACCAGTTAATATCATATAGCTTTTGATTCAGGCCTGCTTTGACTAGTGCTTGAATCTGACTCCTGTATAATCTTTGAGAAGTTGCTGTTAACTCTTTTCACTTATGGTCTTGAGTATTCTTTACTGGGGGTAGGGGAATCGCTTTTATAGACATTAATAAAAGTGACAGCAATTGTGCAGATACATATTATCATCCTAGATGTTCTTATGAAGATGTCTGGATTGTATGTCCATGAACGTGAAGGATTTTAGAAAATATCGGTTTGGGGAAGAAGGGAAAGGAAACAAGTGGGATGATTCCAAACTTGGTGTAATGAGATGCTCTAGGTGTGCAAGTTCTTGGCTGCGGTCTGTGGGGTAACTTGTACGTGGGAAATAAAGCCCCTGGTTTATGCTGTTCTGAGATGAGCAAATAATTAAGAACTGAGCAGGTCCCCATTTAGTGTAAGTGGATATTTTCTCCCAGCCTCTAGAATGACTAGCATAATCCATAGATTTTTTTGCTCCTAGCTACATCTTATTTTAATGCACAGAAGTGTGTGTGGTAGAGTAAGCTTGTCAGAGACCTAAGTGAGTTGCCCAAGTCAGACATACAGGTAAAGCTTTAACTACGTTTCTTTTCTCCAGCTTGTCTCCCCGGTACATAAAGTGCATGGCTTTTTACCTCATTTGAACAGCAAATTAATGCACGTTGTACTGTTTTGTCACCTTTCACCTATATAGTGGCCTCCTGATGAGTGAAGACCTTTGATTTTGTGCTCTGCAGGCAGCAGAGCCAGGAGCCCTGAGCAGCTCTGAGCCGTGAGTTGTGCCCGAGCTGGACAGGCGGTGGTGTTGATCAAAAGTTTGCCTGAACTGCCATGGGGCTTAACCTTTTCCCAATTCATTCTGAAAGCAGGAATAGGAAAATATGTTTACAAACCCCAGGAAGCACATCTGCTTGTGTTCTATAGCGCAGACTTGTATGGGGATACTATGGCCTTGTTGCCCCTGAATGAACACTGCCAGAGGACTGGTGTTTGGGATCTGAGTGCCTAAAACACAATCAGTAACATAAGAGAGACTAGATCATCTGTGGACAATGTCACCCAGGTACCTGTCTGAAAAGGAGGAGTCTGAGGCAAAGCTCATGTCAAAGTTAATCCAAGGCCTTTTCTTCTGTTGTAGACTAGCAAATAAGCATCAAGTTACACATTTCAACACTGGGAGGATGAACATCAGCCATAAGGGAGCGAGAGAAATTTGGAAGGAGTCTGTATGTCCTCCAGCTTTCGTACAGCTCCAGTACCAATAGTGGGATTCATAAGCATGTTTTAGATGCCTGCCAGGGAACATACAACCATGGGGCAATAATCCATGAATGCTAATTAAGTGATTCTTGCTGAGGTTGTACAACTAGTCCAAGCTGCAAAGGGTGGCTCTAAAGGTCATTACCAAACAGAGCTGGAATTTAATCGCTCTTCTAGGCAACTCATAAGAAGCCTTTTCTTAATTGGTCTTATGAAATCTGCTAAAATACAATTGAATGATAAGCGTAAAACAATCTCTATCCTGCCACCTCAAATAGCTGCACTGCCAGTAGTGGTATTTGGGGACAGTGTTTTATAATTCATTCTTATTGTGCTAAAGCTTTGTTTTATAAAAAAATATATGTTTAGTTAAAGTGCTTGGATCCATGAATGAGACTACACCTGTTTGAATATTTAAAATTGCCCTGTATGCCCAAGAACAGCTGCATACTTATTTTTATCACATTATGATGTGTGCGATGTGTGATGACAACTATATGAAATTTAAGTTTCTGAGTGAATTAGTGTTCCTGTGTTACTGCTGGCAATTCTGCATTTTACTCTTCTCATAATTCTACTGATTTTGATTGGAAACTATATTCTGAACTTACTTTAGCCCTTCTGGGATAAGATTTTGTGTCCAAAAGACTAATCCTTCTGAGCTCTGTCATGAAAAACAAAATTTGGTATTGATCATTTTATTCTATTTGGTAAGAATCATAGAAGAAAAATGAATGAAGCTGTCTGCAGAATGTCCAACAAATTAAAGGAATTACTCTCTCAAAAGCAGTGTGTGTTGCGTGTTAGCCCTAAAGATGGTCATCCAGTGCACATTCTGCCTTTCTATGACAGGGAGCTGGTATTTGAAGTCTGTGGAGAGAAAAATTATCAGCAGGTCACCTTTGAAAAGTTAACCATGTTGTTAACTGAAACAGCTGAAACATCAAGTGGGCAGGTGCAGAGGGCACAGATGAGCTCAGATTCAGCTTGTAGCAGTTAGTGAAGATTTCATGGTATTTAACTTCTACTGAAAATAAAAACTGCCTACTAGAGTTGAGGGCGTGCTGGCATTTTGAAACTTAACACACTTTTCCTGTGTTAATATAATGCTTGACTTCTGGATCAACATCTCCAGGCTATCAAATCCAATCCTGTCACAAGATTCAAGAACTAAAACTTCAGCAGCTTTTATAGTTTGGTTCTCTTATTCTGTATACTGAAAAGTGTTTACTTGAACAATTGGTAGTATTTAACCTTCCCTATTGCTGTGGAAAATATGAATGAGAGAAGCAGACATAGCAGTTTTTGAGTAGAAACCTTGTCTATTGACCATTCAAATTGGAAGTTTTTTTTTTTTAATTTTTCTTAGTGACTTTAGACTTTGGATCATGACTAATAAAAGAGAAAAGAGCTAATGTTCAAAAGGAGCAGTATCTGACGTGTAATATTTAGATGAGGAAAGTTTAAAGACCGTTTGAAATGCTTCTAAGTGTTATCAGTGCTGTAGTTTGTTTAGTTGGTTAAACTTTCATAGAAGCAACCAAGTTCCATCTATAATTTAGATAATTATGAAGATTTGATCTATCAATCCCACTTGTGAGTAATTTAACCAAACGAGAACCAGCAGTGATTTTTTTTTTTTTTTTTTGGAGTAAGATGTTTTTAATAGCAGAGGAATAAATATAGTAGTGTTAGGTAAGATATATTACAGTCCTTTGTTGTGTCTTGGACCTTTTCTTTCTTTTTAGCTTGATTCAAAGGATAAACCTTGAGTTTGACTTTCTTTTTTAGAGTTCTAGGGAGCTTTAATTTGATTAATTTGATTTGGTGTCTATATTTTGGGAACTCTATACTCTTATTTTTTTCCATTTTAAGCTGGAGATAATATCATTGAAGTTGATGGGATGACCTAAAACAATACAGAGCTGGACTGTAACAACTGACTTTGATGTACAGCAGAGAATCTGCTTACACATTTCTATTGGAACAATACAGAATGCTTCTGATGCTCCAAAATTTTTTTGTCTTTCCATGCGCTGAAGCCACGATGGAGATGGTTTTGTGCCAGTTAAAGAGCAGACTGCATACAAGAAGTTCAAGATTTGGCCTGTTGTGAGATGCAGTGTCTGATACTTCTTTGATTTATTTCTGCAGACATTATTAGACTCGAGAATTTAAAGAGATCATGGAAAAGGAATCCTACTATTTGAGGAGTACTTTAATTTCCAAGGTCATTGTACATAATTTTTTAGCAATCTGTGGGAACTAATCACTGGGCTAATTTTAAAAAATGTTTGGGAGATCTTTCTGGTGAAAGATCACTAAAGACAAAGTTATTTTTAAATGCAGACTTAAATTGTAAGCCTCTTGTTGCAGTTGCTTATTACTGATGAAAACCCTCCTATTTTGGTGCATAAACCCTCCTATTTTGGTTCAGCAATTTAGGGACTGTGATGTAGAAAGTTTCAAGGCAACTTTTCAGACTTTGCTCTTGCAATGGATTTGTGCAGATGAAGAGGAGACAAATTAAGTTTTGTGCCAATTGAAGCAATTCATTGGAAATAATAAGAAAAAAATCAGAATAAAAATAGATGGCCATATGTTACAGTCTAGGGAAATAGGGAAATGCATTAAAGAAAATGAAATGATATTCAAATTTGTGGAATTAGTGCTTCCTTTTGCTGACTAAGCTATAACCTCTGGGTCATGTTTAGTAAAGGATTGGAATGAGGTGAGTAAATGATTTTGTCCACCAAATTAATCATTGTATGAGGCCTCCTTCCAGGCTTTAAATCATGTCTGTGACATTTACACGCGGTCACTGAACTCAGCTTGTAGAA